AGAGATCCCATTCAGTGAAACAAAGACAGGCTGGCCAGCGGCAGGGCTGAGGTTGGCTCTTGCCTGCCCGCCGGTCCCAGGCAGGTTCTGCTTGTGGATATACAGGAGGTGGCGTTCCTGGGCGCTGTGGTAAACGGGAAGCTGCCAGTGCCTGGCAAAGTTACCTTCGAAAGGAGAGTCGTGAATCAGTGATTTTTGAAAATGGAAATATGCTCAATAAAACACAGTTAGGACCTGGCAATATATTTACAATTCTGACCGATAGGGCTTAGTCAGATAGCTCAGGAGTTACTGAGTGTCAGGGAATCTGTTACTCGACTCCTCAGTTCCCAACAGACTTAAAAATTGATGTATATTGCCAATGGAAATAGGGGTATAACACCTAGCCCAGACCAAGAGCCAGTACCGTCTTCCATGAGTTACCAAAGCCACTCTGCATGCACAACAAAAATTACAACATACCGAGGAAATTTCACAGAGGGCCAGAACTAAATGGCAATGACAAAATTTGACAAACAGCGAAGATGCTTCCGCTGGAGCCTCCCGGTGACCAGCCCAGCTGAGTGCCAGATGGAAACACAGATAACAGCACAGACACCCCTGCAACACTGTTTGCAGATTCGATAAACAAGAAAGGCAGTGAGTTCGAAGGCAGCGTGAGAGGCAGTGAATAGCCTCACACAGCAGGCCACAGGAGCGAGGAAGGGCGGCGCTGACGCTGCAGGTGCTTCTCAGGAGAGGCCGAGGGGGGGGCACGTGTTTTGGGAAAGCTGTAGAGAACTGGTGACAGGCCAGGCAGTTGAGCGCCTTGGAGGTCTTTGTCAGAACTTTGGCTTTCGTGAGGCAGTTGGGAAACCACTGGAGGCATAATTAGAAAGGTGACATGATCTGTTGTAAAAGATCATTCCAGCTGCTCTTCTGAAAATAGCCCAAAGGAAGCCAGGAGCGCAGGACAGAGTTCCAGGAGGTCAGCACGGTCGCCAGGCAGCGGAGAGCAGCCTGTCTTGAGGGTCCAGCCAAGATTTGCTGGCGGTTCTGGGGTGCAGGAGGGAAGAAGTGTTTGTTGGAGACATGCTGCATGCTCCCCTCGCCGTGTATTTGAATGTAGACCCACTGGCAACTCCAGAGGTTTCAGAGGGATTGTCTAAGAGCCAGGGAGCAAGGACTCCTAAGGAAACATGGGGAAACGAGCGGAGAGGACCTGCACTGTGCCTCTTGGGACCTCTCCTAAGCGCCTGCAGCTGAAGTTGGTGCGGGTGCCCTTCGGCCAGCTGGACACCTGAGAACCAGAGCGCTCCCCCCGCCCCCCACCCCCTACCTTGGCTGCTCTCCTGTGTATGTAAAAGTGACTTCCACCTATTGGCAAAGAGTGGTGTTCTTTTGGGGGAAAAATATTAAAGTTCCACTTTGGATAAAGAGTAAAGATGAGAGATTGAAGGGTTTTTTAAAGCATGGAAACCCACCAAGCCAACATTTACTCAGCTCTGTGTGCTTTATGTGGGTGGGCTCGTTTACTCCTTTACAGTAACCCTCTAAGGTGGAGGCTTTAACTACCTGCAGTTCCACAAGTGACTGCTCAGGCGCTTCCACAGACAGGTGACCTGTTGAGGCCACTCCCTAGTTTGCTCTTTCGGAGGGCAAAGACACCCAGACGGCAGCAGAGGCACAGGCCCTAGAGACCGGTCAGCACTGAGGCTTCTATGAATGAGCTGAGGCAGCGTGAATCGGAGTTGACTGACCCTGCGGGAGACGGTGGCACCTTGCCAGCCAGGGTCAGCAGCGGGCACTTCTCTGGCGACGAGGGACCGGTGCCCACACGGTGTGCAGGCAGTTTCTTCACACTTCTCTGGCAAGAACCTCCTGGAGGATGCAGTGTGATGTTTCTGGAGGTCACTTGGTAACGTTCAATCTTGCAGTAACTTTCATCTCGAAACATCCAGAGGACCCTGTAAAGGTAGCGCGGGCCAGCTGCTGCTCAGTGCAGAACTGTGTATCCTCTCTCGACCCAGATGCCCCCCAGTAAGGCTGCGTGCCACATACCTGTACTTGGTAAGTCACATTACAAGCAATACTGGGCGTGTGCATAGACGTCTCCATGTATGTATTCGCATAGAAACGAAAATGGTAGAGCCTTCTCGATAGTGTTAAGATTGTGGGGTTTTTCACTACCATTTTTATTTTTTGTGCTTGGAAATATATAATAAGAAACTGATTAATGCCATCTCCTCCCCATGTAGCCAGAGCAGCTGACTTGCTGGCGCAGGGGCACCAATAGGAGTTTCTTGATTTGCACCCGGGGTACCCCAGGGGGCTTCTCATCTGTATACTGAGACAGGCAGCCTAGAACCCGTTTCCCTGCCCTGAGAGAACTCAGGCAGCCCAAGGGCCTGGCAGCACAGGGTGGGGGTCCCTTTGTGATTCCTGACCCCAACACAGCCAGCTTTTCCAGTGTTGGAAGATACTGAATTGAGGCCACTCAATTAAGTCGGTATCTAGTTATATATATTTTTTCATATCAAAACAAAAATCTGGTTTTTGAGCCACAGAGTTCCTCCAGTTTCATCCTGTCTCTGCCTTGAGGGCAGCAGTGAGGGAGGAGCGGGCAGCCTCTGGGGGTGAAGGATCTTCTGGTGCTGTCACTTACCTGAAGGGTTATGGCGTTTGTAGCTATTCTTTTTAGAAGAGAATTCCAGTGACATTTATGTCTAAGGACATCAGGCCCAAAAGTAGTGACATGTGAACTTGAGGGTCATAAAGTTCAACCTAGGTGGGTTTGTACGGAGAACCTGTGAGTAAGCACGTGTTTCTCTTACCTCTCCTTCGTAGATGTGTAGTACTAAACGCATGGAAATGTGTCAGAGTCCCAGTGCCCGCCACTGCCCATGACATGGGGCGAGTCACATCTCCCATCCTTAGAACAATCTGGAAAGCAGTCACTCAGCTGTGTTGTGTGGTTCGCTGAGGAACCTGCATGACCCAAAGTAACCACAGCCTACACACCAGGTGGGGCCTCTGAGCCAGTGGTGTGGAGACAGCTGGCAGACCCTGTGCCCGGAGCCCCGAGGAGCCTGAACCTCCATGAAGATTCATCTTCATTCCTCCTCCCCCCCCGTCCCCGGCACCCGCCCCCCACACACATACACACACACACCGTGGTGAGGATGGTGGCTCAGGCGGCGGTGCGGATGTGGACGGCCTCTCCTCCCAGCCTGCTTTGTGCTCCTGAGGTGGTGTCTGGGCTGGCCGCAGAGCCCTCCCTTTGCTACTCGGTGCCCAAACAGGATGCTCTGTTTTAGGTCTGCTTCCCAGAAGCTTTCTGTTGGATTTACCTCTCCCCCCACTCCCTAAGACTGTCAAGCACACCTCAGCATCTCGGATAGCTGTTGACAACGTTGAAGCCAAGTTCAGCACAGTGCAGAGATTACTGTTCCCAGTGTGGGTTTGTAGATTAAGAAAGGAAATTTGATCTTTCCTGTGATGGTTTATTTATTAAATGGGTCACGTTGCATTCAGTGAGGTCACTGGTCAGGAGTCAGGGTTGTGCAGTCATCACGGTGTCTTTGCTCAGTGCAGACGTACAGCTCCTGTCTCGTCACTGAGTATTCATGACGTGGCCACACAGCAGGGGGTAGCTTCTGGGGTGGTGTAACAGAACACCCTGCCCTGGTGGCTCCGACAGGTAAAGTTTTCATCGTCTCGGCCAGGGGTCCGCAGGCCCACCTGCCCGGCCGCGGCCCAGTGTGCCATGGGACGTGCCATCCCTACCCTGCCTTCCTCTCTGCTGGCCAGTTCTTGGCTCCAGCGGGCAGCGGGAACACAGGCCCCAGTCTCCTGTGAGCAAACCTGTCCTTGGGTTCTAAATGTAGATCCCACACCTTGGTACTCACCTTCTGCATCCGTGTGTCAGCCCCGCTCTGCCATGAAAGCAGGGGAAGGGTGAGGAGACACCTGGCGGTCAGCCAGGGCTGCGAGCGAGCGGGTCCTGAGGCCCAGGCCCGGACGGCGCAGGACAGGAGCCGTCCTGTGCTGGGACCTCGTTTCCCCGCGGGGAGCCTCACCATCACACTTCTTCCAGAAGTTCAACTTCAGTTCCACTTTTCCCCCTTTTGGAAGAATCGGTGAATGTGAGGCTTTCATTAAGAACGACTGGCGTGCCGCTGGCCGCACCCCTGGCTGGCCCTGGGGGGCCGCTCCCAGCGTGTCGGGGGGCTGACTGCAGCAGCGGTCGCCCCTGAAAGTCGCTGGTGCTCATTAGGAGCTAGGCACTGTGCCGTTCTTAGCACCCACTTGCCTGTTTTGTCCTCAAAACCTTGAGGTCGGACCCTCATGCTGCAGGTAGAGCGCGTGAGCCCCTGAGCTGCACTGCTTGTCCAGGGCCAGGTCAGAGCCAGTGGCGGGTGGGGACCCAGCCCTGGTCTCGCAGGTGCCTGCCCTCCAGGTTGCCAAGGGGGCGCCCACAGATGCAGCGAGCGTCAAAAAGTCATTGCTGGGTGTTTGGGTTGGGTTTTTTCTTTCCTCCTTTGACTAATTTTTTTAAGTATGTTGTCACAACCAACAAAGTGATGCTTTTTGAAAAGGAAGCCAGACAAACGCAGCCTGAAAGGCCTGGCACGGCCTCAGGGCACCCCGGAGTGGGCTGCAGGACCCTGCTTTCCTCCTGCCTCGCTGACCCTGGTGCTGCTGCACCGCCTGGGGTCTCCTGCCCACGGGTACTGTGGTACTGGAAGGAGGTGAAGTCTCTGCCCTTGAAAGATGAGCCACTTGGGTCGGAAGGCTGCCTGTCCTCAAGGCAGCTGAGGCTCTGTTTCCTTTGCCGAACTTCCCAGAGTCCTGTGCTCTTCACCACTTATCTCATCACTCTTGCAGTTGAACTTTGCATTCCGCAGGGCTGGGCAGAGTGACAGGCAACAAACAGGCTCCCCGCAGAGTGTGGCCTCGTCAGGGAGCGGCCTGAGGTTTTACGGGGCGCTGCATGTGTCGGTTTGTCTGTTTCGTTTTAGGATCCTCAGGGTCTACTCAGAGGAAAGTAAAGGGTGACAAGGTCAGTCCTGCTCCCTTCCACGCAGGCCAGGGCTCGTGGTTCTGTGGGAACCTCGTGCCAGGTGGAGGTCTGCCGGGACCAGCCCCAGCAACAGGCGTGCCGTGCGTCCAGGTACAATTACTGCAGGTAAGCTGGCAGCCCAGGAGGAGACATGCGGGCTCCGAGGGCCGCCGCAGCCCCGCCACCCTCCCCTCTCGCCTTTGAGTCCCCCCAAGTCTGTGATCCCGCTGTGAACCCATCCGCGCCCTCCCTGGCACGTCGCCTTACTCTCTAGGGTGGACACGGCATCATGGCTCCCCCTGCCAGGTGTCTCTTCCGTGTCTTGCTCGGGGTGCTGTGAGGTGTAGACAGTGTGCCCTGATCCTGCCCGGGCCTCCCAGAGCTGTCTTGGAGCTGTGTGAGACAGCCTGAGACTGGCCTGTGTCCTGACCCTGCTTTTCTCGTGAAGGCTGCGTGAAGGGCTTCTGCAGACTGCTCTGCTCACCCCATCCTCGGGGGCTTCTGGGGCACACTGGAGCATGTGGCCTTTCCCCCTCCCCTCTGCTTTCTTCCCCATCAAGCCCTTCAAGGGCAGGGTCAGCCGCTCGATACCTGCATCTGGGGCCCGCATGTGCGTGAGCTGGCGGCCTGCTGAACGCTCACTGTACAGTTCCAGAGGCCTCTGCCTATTCATGTTTGAAGATCAGAATAGGGAAGTAAGGTGATTTGAAAGGTTTTTGGGAGAGGAGAGGTTTAGAAGCCGTGGAGGGCAAGGAGTCTGACCTGCCCTGGGCCTGTTCCTCGGGCACCTTCTCTGTCCTCGGCCCTTTGGGCCACAGAGCAACATGGGCCATGCCATACGACGCCATGAACAGCTGCAGGAATTGGGGGGGAGGGAGGGCCGCTGGCCCCGATCAAAGTGGGCTCTAGTCCTGGAAGCCTTGCACCTAGAGAGCACCATGCTGCTGTGGGGGGTCTGCAAGGTTGGTGTAGGTGAACGGGAAGTGGGGGCGGCCGTGGGGATGGGGAGATGAAGTGTCCTCACTCGTAGAAAACCTTAAGAGGCTCTGGTGGGGTTTTGATTTGTCCACCGAAGTGAGCAGGAAAGCTGTCCCTCCTTTCCAGGTTTGGGGTGAGGGAAATGGAATAGTAGAGTGGTCGGGAAGCCTCTGCTCCCAAGGGCGGTGGAGGCGGGGTGGCCTGGCCTGAGCCTCTCCAGCCAAGGTCAAGGCTGGCCGGGCAGACATGCACTTGAGGTGTGAACTTCGCGCAGAGACCTGGCTTAACCCGTTGTCCCTGAAAGGCACGGTGCGGTCCTGGGCACGGTACACAAACGCTGTCCCGAGCTTTCTCGTGGACACCTGGCACGGGCACTTCTGCGGGAGGCATGGAGGACATCGGGAGGTGCTGCTGGTGGCCAAGGCAGAGGAGTCGAGGGGTGGCTGCGGGCAGCCTGGGGCTGGCCGTGCCGATGCAGACGGGCGGGTGCTCGAGTGCCCCTTTTCTGAACAGGACGTTTGGGGCCTGGTAGCCTCCCTTCTCTGGGAGACCGCCAGCTGCTCTCAGCCAGGCCGAGATGAGCCCTGCCCTGTGGTCTGAGAAGGTGCTGTTGAGCACTCGTGAGGGCGCTCGGAGACGACTGCTGGGAAACCCCACCAGCGCACCCACGGGGGAAGCTCGGCGCTGGGACTGAGCGACCTTTGGGAGAAGGGCCCTGGAGTGAGCAGCAGCTGGTGGCAGCTGGTGTGGGCCATCTTGGCCTGCAAGGCTGGAGTCGGGGTCAAGGAGGGAATGCAGGCCGGGAGGCAGATCGGAGCCCGGCCTGACCTGCTGGAGGCTACCGGACGCGCTGGCTCTGCGGGCTGCAGGCGGAGGGGCGTTAGTAACTGTTCTGTTGCTTCCCCAGGACGACCCTTCAGGTGAAGGAGTCTTGCCACTGGCCTTCAGCCCACAGCCTTCTGCCTTCCACCCCCTGTATGCTGCTGTCGACGTGCCCATCTATGTTCTTCAGGTTGGACGCTTTCGTCTCTGGGTTTGTTAGTGGGGTTCTCAGGAAGCTTCCGGCTCCCGAGGCCGGGTCGCTGAGGTAGGCCTGAAGAGGCGGCTCGCTGGGTTGATTGCCAGGTGTTGGGTAGCTGACTGAGGAAGGGCCAAGAACGAGGCTCTGAGTTACAAGTCTTTGTTGTGGCTCGTACCCGTCAGCCAGGTGCCGTTTCACACACTTCAGATACTTTATGTGGAGAATTTCTAGTCACTTTCTCCTGTGGAAAGTAGGCCAGTCAGTTGTTACCCTGTGACAGAATAGACCCAGACAAGTGAGTTTGCTGAAGTAGGTGCGTAAGTTGAGTGTGGGTGGCAGTGGGGGATTCAGTTTGGGACACCATAAACATGTGTGCCTCAGATCTCTGCGTTGGCTTAAATAGATAAAAAGTCCATACAAAAAGTTTTGTTACGCTCACATCGGGCTGTTCAATATCTTCCTTAATGGCCAAGTAAAATCCTCACCACAGGCTGGCTTGAGGCAGTGGGACTGCCCAGCTGCCGGGGCATGGTGGACGGAGGGCTGCTGCCCTCCAGAAACCCTCATCCGTGTCCGCCACCCTGCCTGGCACGCCCACTTCCGAGGTCGTTCTGAAGAACAGGCAGGTGCGCGCCAGCACCCAGAGGCGGGCGGCCTCGCTCTCACTGGGGGTCTTCTAGCAGGAGGGGTCCGTGCGGGAGGGCCCTGTTCCTGCAGGGACGCCCGCTAACTGGGCAGGGTGCTTCCTGCATACCAGGCGAGATACGCCAGGCCAATCTCAAGTTTTGAGAAAACTTGCAACACCCTGTTGAGCTCATTTTTCCTTATTTTTGTTGACAGTTAAATTTCTTTTTTCCGGGCACCTCCATGTGAAATAATGGGAGCGCGAGTCTTTCAGTGCAGAAAGTCAGCAGCGCCGCACCTGCCGGTCGCTCGGCGAGGGTCTGGGGGCCGCCTCCTGCGAGGTGGCCCTGCCCTGCCCTGCCCTCCCAGCGTGCCCCTCGCCCTCACTCCCCCGCTTGGTTTTGCAGGAGGTGCTTCCGGCAGCTGAAGGCGCAGCTGGGCCTGAGGACACACAGCGCACAGGGAGCACCATCACCCTGCGGGACCTGCCGTGAAGCCGCCATCTGCCCAGGGACCCGCGGCTGCCGCCTGTGTGCCGAGACTCCTCGGTGCGCGTGCAGGCCGAGGCCAGGCTCCGCTTGGCCCCTGCCCAGGCCAGCCCAGGTCTTCTGCTGGGTACATTTAGCAAAAGTGTTTGTGTACACTTCATCAGGACCTGGTTTGGGGCTGTCCTATTTGAAACTGCTTTTGATGGAGCAGAGGGCTTCGGTGAGGCAAGGATCGCGCTCAGAGTGAAGCCTGAGCCTCCGCCTGAGCGAGCACCCCTCCTCCCATCTGACCTGAGCCGGGGGCGTGTGCGGCGTTTAGCACAGAAGGAGGCGCGCGCACAGCACCCTTGCCCAGTCCGCCTTTACCTGGAGTCAGACCAGATGAGCTCCCCAGAGTCGGTGTTGCAGCGTTCTGCCCGAGCGCTCTAGAAAAACCACATTTCCCCATCCTGAGAGCTGTGTCCCAGCCATTTTCCAGCCCCTAGAGCGATGTTTGCAGTTAGCTTGGTTTTACCTCACTGTAGGGCAAGGTGGGCCCTTGGTCACAGGGAAGCCAAATACTCTCATGTTCTGGGAGACTGGGTGTAAGCAGCTGATCGGAGAGGACAGTGGGGTGAAGGGGCGCACCAGAGGCCCTGTTAGCCAGCCCTCTGTGGAGACCAAATTTAGAGCTCATAGTTTGAGAATGCACGAGTTAAAACTTTGCATTATTTTTAATTCTGTATTTGGGTATTAATGTTGAATAATAACTTGACGGCAGTTTATAATGAATGTTCTGGATACTATAAATTATGTGGCGGCTGTAATAATGGCGGGGTATGTTTTGTTGAGGTTGCAGGTGTGCATAGCCTGTCTCGGTGTGTATCTGTACGGAGGGAGGTCTGTCTTGCGAGAGGAGGCAAGTTATTTATTTGTTCATTAGCAGACGGAACACAGACGGAATCACTCAGATGTGCTTTTTTTTTTCTTTCTTTTGCCTTGTGCCTTTTGAAGAATGTTTATTCAAACACTACTTTGGTTCTCAGACTTGAAGTCCTCCAGTCTCTCTCTGTCCTGCTTTCTTCGTTTGCATTTTTAGACATTGGCATTGGGGGTGACCCTAGCACTCAGAGGGATGCCTCTGTCCTGCCTAGAGGCTCTGTCCCGCCCAGGCTGCTTCTCCCAGAGGAACTCAGGGCCATTTCTGAATGGTTCTGTCCCCAGAACTCTGCTGCTTCAGACTAAAGTTCAGTGGTTAAATTTGCCCACCTGGCACCTCAGTGGATCCCCAAAGGCCCTCTCTCTGTCAGGCCTGTCTGCCACAGTGGCCTTGGGCCCAGGAGCTGGCGGCCCTGCGCTGTATTGGAGGGAGGAGGGTCGGCCCCTGGGCGTGCCTGCCTGGAGGTGTGTGGCTGGGCTATTCTGCACCCCTGGGCATCCGCCTCTGTGACTGGTACTGGCTGTCAGTTTTCTGGGCAGAGAGCTTCCCTGCTGGCAGTGGGCCCAGCTCCTAGTGCAAATGAATAAAAGTTTTGTATCGTCATGTGCTGACGGCTTTACTTCGCTCAGCTTTACTTCAGGGCACTGCCTGTTTGGTGTTGAAGTCACTTCCCCTCCCGTCAGTAGTAGCCACTCCTCGTCCTGGCTTGCTGCCTGCTTTTCTTATCTTTGTGTTGGGGCTGACCCTACCTTGCACCCCAGTGTGGAACTGGCTTCTGCTAGCAGAGCGCCCCGAGGGCTTGTTCCTCAAGCATGTGCTTAGGGCTCAGCATTAAAAGGGGAAGCTGACCTTGGGAGCTGTGTCTGCTCCAGCAGGCCTGCGAGACACCCGAGAGATAACGGAGTTTATTCTGCACAGTCAGAGGCCCGCAGCAGAGCCTGCGAGGGCGGCGCCAGGCCCACCGGGCCTGACCCAGCCCCGTCCCGCTCCTGCTGCCCGCCGCTGTGCTGCTAGCCAGGCCGGCGCCCCCAGGCCTAGGTGAAGAAAAACAGCTGCTCCTCCTCTTCCTTGTTTATCATGGCGGGCTCGACCTTCTCCTTGGTTTTCGAGGCTGGAGGCCGAGAGCGACACACCAGCCTTCGGCCTCTCTGTGGAGGAAGCGAACTCGGTGAGCCTCGTCTGGCTGCCTCATCACGCCCGAGAGCTGCCAGACGCCCGGAGGCCAGCGCCCTGCGCTGAGCGTGCTGGTAGGTGGAGAGCCGGGCTGTGTGGCACCAGCCCAGCCCCTCTGGTCACTCCAGGTCGGCTGGCAGGCTGAGGGCGGGAGTGCCGGTCCTGGACACCCCCTGGTGTGTGTCTAGCAAGTACAGAGCCTGTTCCCTGGGATGCCAGCCCCAAGGTGTATGTGGGCAGAGGGGGAGGCGTCTGGAAACAGACCAAGGTCAGAGGAGACCCTGCCGTGTTCACCCCTCAGCAGCATTGCGGAGCGTGCCTGTCTGTTCCCGAGGAAGCCCGCAGGCCTCACCTGTCCCCTGGGCCCCCTGGGCACCACCGCCCCTGTTGCCAGAGCCTGTAGGCTCATCCTCATTCTCCATGTTTGGGGCCCTGGGCACTAGCAGTCGGGGGCCCCTGGTGACGGGCGATGAGCTTGGCTTAGGGTCTGGCTGGACTGTAGATGGGGTGGTGGGGCCCCAAAAAGCTGAGCTGCTGGTCCCAGCTCTGAAAGACCGCACCTTGCAGGGTGGGGAGGGCACAGCCAGACCAGTGACTGACCAGGCACCTGTGCTGGAGGCTGGCGGCCCTAAGGAAGACTCCTCGAGGACACAGGTCGGCGAGGAGCTTAGCCCAAGGGTGACAGCTCCGGGACAGGGAGACCCTGCTGTTCCTGACCTTGCTCTGGCAGCCAGGCCCCCAGAGCCTCGGCACCACCAGGGGGTGAGCCAGCAGGCTTGGCTTTCAGTCCTCGGGGCCGTCCAGCCTACCTTTTTCTTGATCTCGGCCTGGACACGGGCCCGGGCCCGCTGTAGACGCTCCTCTTGAAGGATCTTCTGCAGCCTCAGCTTCTCATCCCGGATTCTGCGTGACGGGCAACAAGAGACTGATTAAGGACTGGAGGGGCCTGGGGAGTCACCACACCGCCCTCAGCCGCCCTCAGCCGGGCCCTGGCTCCATCGTGCAAGAAAACTCCCCTACTCACTCCACGCTTCCCTGCCACGCCAGGGCCTTGCTGCTGCCCTGCCTCTGGGGCTGCCGCTCTGAGGCCGCGACACGTGGCCCCTGCTGCCACTCCCACAGCCATGGCCACGTGTCCTTCCTTTCTGTGCTTGGGCCCTTTGCCCTGTGCTTGGGGGAGGCTCTTTGCAGATGCCTCACCGTGAACCGGCGGCCTCGGGCCGGAAGACTCACCTGTGTCCCGCCAGCCTGGGGACTCCCCTGGGCTCCCCTCAGAGTGTGCCCCATGTCTGGTATTCTGGCACTGCCCGGCACCCGCTCCTGCCACTACATCCTGGGCTTCCTGAGGCTCTGACCTTCCTCCCTTGGCCTCTGGCAGTGCCAGCCTCCCCCTCCAGCCTGGCTGCCCAAATGGCTATTGCTGTCCTTTGTGCTGGGGGCCTGGGCTGTGCTGGCCACACTCTCACTGAGCACAGTAGCTCCTGAGTACACATCACCTGCTTCAGAAGAGCTCACTAGAGCTCATTAGAGCTGAATTTGGTGACTCCTGTGGGTCCCCGCAGCCCCAGCTCCTGTCTCACAGCAGGGGGCTTTTCGAGGGCTGGCGGCTCTGACCTAGAGCAGAACTTGACGTGGGGGGAGCCGGGGCCCCCCGCTGTGAGGCGGCTCACCGTTTGCGCCGCTCCTTCTCCTTGGCCTTCTCGGCCTCCTCCACCTTGTACTGAGGCATGCGCTCCAGGTTCTCGAGCAGCTCGTCCAGCTGGTGCTCGATGACGGTCAGCATCTGCACTGTGCCCAGGTTGGGGTCCTGCCGGGCGCCCATGCATTGCTGGTACACTGACAGCACCTTCCGGTTCAGGCTCTCCAGCAGCTTGTCCTGTGAGGCGGGCAGGCCTCCAGCGGGGTCACGGCCCAGGCCTGGCCTGCGGCCCAGGGTCATTGCTGGGACAGCTCAGGGATCAGGGGTGCGAGCAACTTGGACACCTGGACGTGGCGGGGCTAGAGCTACCGGGTGCCTTTGCCTTCTGCGGTCAGCCAGGTCCCGGGTTCTCGCCCCTGGTGAGGCTCATGCCTGCACCTTGATGTGCCACTAGTGATGCCCAGTCCCTCCTACAGGGCGCCCTCCCCACCCCTCACCTCTGTACTGGCCTTGGCTCCCCCAAAGAGCCAGCTTTCTATGGACAGATGAACCCCCTCTCTGACCTGTCCTGACAGTCAGAAGCATGTAACACAGCCTGTTGCCCAAGTGGGCATGAGTATAAAGGCAGCAGCAGGTGAAAAGCTGCAGGCCGGGCAGCCAGTGTCCAGTGGCGCCCAGCATGGGCCGAGACACACCGCCTGCCGGGCCTGGTGCCTGCCGCACAGTATTCCTCATCAGGCATTTCAGTGAAGTAGAAAGGCAGGTCCACACACATGCCCGGGAGATGCCACAGCATCCCTGATCTGCCCCCTCAGAATTCTCAGCCTCCCACCCTGGCTTGGGGGTTGCCTTTCTCCCACACAGGTTCCCTGGACACTGGGGGTTAAGAACAGAAGGAGGCTGCCCATGCAGACACACAGGCCAGCCTTGGGGAACAAGAGGCTCGAGGGGGGTGCCCGGGCACATGGAGCCTAGAAAGTGAAGAGAGCCACGCTCCCCCCC